ATCCCTTTTTGTCACATTTTAAAATCGGTGACATATTTAACGAATGGTAACATCTGACAACATTGAAGAGAAACAACACTACGAGTATATTACATACTCGTATTGTATTGTTACACTACACCCTGCAGTGGCCTGCCGTTATAGGAAACGTACAAATACGAAAAGAAGAGCAATGTCACCCATCACTCTATAGTGTGCTGCGGTCGTCATAAGTAAAAGTACAAGTAAAAGAAGATAGAATACTCCAGAAATGTCCGGAAATGTCATTACCCGTCAAGAATATTCTAGACGACAGTTCGAGAAGGTTTGAGCAAGCTATATAAGGATGATCCTGACGTCAGTTTTATGATAGACGTTACATGTTAATGTTATCAGTTGTATAATTGTTGTTAAAGTTGAGTTGAAATAAATTGCGATACCAAAAACCTGTGTAACAATGTTTCTATCCAATGTTGTCAGATGTTACCATTCGCCAAATATGTCATCAATTTTAAAATGTCTATTTGTCTTTGAGAATATACGGATAGTGTCAGTCGTTCGACATTTTAATAGACATTAGTAGTAGACATTATGACGAATGCTACATTTTTAATAGACATTCGAGAATAAGGTCCCTGTCATTTAAAAAATTAACATATTTCGTAAATTTTGCAACCATTGAATGCATTGGAAATGATAATAATTCAACGAACTAGTTGATCAATATTTATCTAGTCGATACAAAAAGTAGTTTACCTCCAAAGAAAATGGTATTTAGGTCTTTTTTTTGTATATTTTTTTAGTTTTGATTATGCTTGAGCCAGGGTAGGTTTGGTCATTGAGTAAAGAAATGGTTATTATTTTTTAATATTTGGTTAATTTTTGTTTTGTGTTTATTGGTTGATTGTCTTATTGATCTCAAAATGAATTTCACTCGTTTCTCGTTTTATATTTTGTTTTTTTTTAAGCAATAAAAAACTTATTTTTATTTTATGTTATGGTCATTAATAAAAGAAATTTTACATTTTTTGATTACTTATTTGATTAAGTCTGCCCGGGAGACAAGAAAAGTCTTTAAGGTGGGCTCCCAAAATACTTGATACGCCCCTGGTCAAATACCAAATAATCTTTTTAATTATCTTGTTCCTTTAGCTATTAAATATTATATATGAGAATTATTTAATATATTGTTTATATTTTTATTGTTTATTGTATTGTTTATATTTGTATTGTTTAATATATTGTTTATAATTTTTGAAAATTATGAATGCACCTCAATCTGTGAAATAATTCCGGCCCTGTTTTAGTTCAACACTGTTTCGTAGAATCGCATGAAACACATGTGATTGTCGTATTTAATTCGATTCTCTATATCGCTATTGCGATGGCGATGAGCGGCGATAAGCGGCGATTCATGATATGATTGATAGACGATAAATCTTTGTTTAAATCATGGAATATAGTTATCTGGTTGTTATGGACGACGCCGAAACGATTGTTCCAGGCCCATTTGTTTCCGGATCAGTTCTGGATTCCAAATCATTACAAATTAACTATTAGGGTCTTAAATTTTGAATATATGTACTGTGATTGCAGTATGATGTTTATGCCATTTATGCATTAATGTTGGAAAATGTTGTGTAAATTCCAGAGAAGCACAGTTATAAATGAAAAACATTTATTAATTATCATGTTTTTTTAATTTACAAATTATTGTTTTAAAAAATAGTAACGTTCTATTAATTCGATCGGTTCTTCTGTAGTTTTGCAACTACTTATTATACAACTATACATACAGCAAAACATTGTGTGTCAGCTAAACTAACGTAGAATATTGTAACAGCAAATAGATCTATTTGTTCTCTATCATGGCAAAAGGGTCTGAAAACGTTCAGTATAATAAAAATATGAAATATGCATGGGTGTATACATGGGGAGCAGGAGATCCCTTAAAGATTTTCCAATACACAGGATGTCTCCGGATGAAATGAAAAAAGGAAAACTTTTTTATTTTCAACTTTTAGAGAAAATGTTATTCTTTATAAAAGTTTTTTTTGTTTCAAAAATAATAATAATTAAAACAGATTAATATCTCTTTGCTTTAGTAAAATAATAACACAAAACTTGATTTTTATATTCTTTAACATAAAATAATACAAAAAAAGTTTTTGTTTTATTTTATATTGTTCAACATGAAAACCACCCAGTTTAACATATTTTTCAGCTCTGCTTAAAAATTCTTTGTAACCTTTTTTTTTGTTATCTTGGGAAACAGAATTAATTCCCTCTCATATTTTTTCTTTTAATATTTCAACGTCATTTTTAAAATTACGAATACAATAAAGTTATTTTAAGTAACCCCAGTGAAAAATCCAGAGAATTTAAATCCGGCGTTCGGCTCCCGGGGATGACAGGTTTTCACACTTGGGGTCTTGATAATTCGTAAGGGGATTTTTGAAAAACTTATTTCAGATAGTTTCGACCTTTCGAATTTCGATTCGCGATTTGCGATATATTAAATTCACAATTTTATAATCAGGTTTACGTCGCTTAACGTGCATTGAAAACTTAACTCACACAGATGAAGATATGGGCTTAGTATGCATTAAAATGCATTTATCATTACACTGTGACGAAGTCACTAAATTTTATTTTTAAATTATTTTAAAAATGTATATTTCAATTAATTCCCGCCTGAGGACATGTAGAAGATCCACCGTATTTCTGTTTCCCAGGAATTACCGTTTTTCAACAATTGCGAGTACCCTCGTAGGTTAAAATATTTCTATATTTGCCGAAATCCGAATGGGCATTTTGTAGAGTCGATTTCGTACCAATTATCTACTTTTACTTGTCAAGGACTAGAAGGATATTTTTTTTTTATTTTTAAATTGTAAACAGTCGGCTGTAGTGGTGGTATCCCCCACTCGGGCTTACCGGTCTTCCATCTTGCCCAGCGCAAAAGCATAAATTCGATCACATCTAGAAATTACGCTCTCTTCATTTCCGGCAACCGTAACCTCTTCTCTCTTCTCCACCGACTAGTGAGTGACCGTGATACTGTTAGACTGCTGAACAACCCCGTTTATTTTTCTAAGGTAGGAAACCGCATAGGTAGGAAACCGCATATTATTTTTTTATTTATAATTAGTTTGGGACACCCCTCCGAAAAGTGAAAGAATTTTGATTCATGCCCAGCATTTTTCATTACATCCCTTAATGGGACACCGTTGACAATTTTTTATAAGAAGCGCCCAGTATTTTTCATGTAAATTTCTCTTTTCTTTTATTTATTCATTCAATTATATTTGAATCATTCCGTTTCCCGTCAACAACTAATTATTGAACGAAGCCCGACGTTTTCTGTAAAATTAATTCACACACCGTCTTGATCGACTTTGGGCAAATCTCAAAATAATTTTTACTTTAACCATCGCATTCTTCGTCCAAACACCGCGGTAAATATTATCATTCTCGTTAGACGAAATTCAAACTGCCGATCGCTCGAGACCAAGATACAAGGAGTTTCCGAAAACTTTGTTCCATTTCATAGTAGGTTTTCCTTTTCTGAACTTACATTGTAGGTGGGTTAACTATGGTAATAGTAAACTTAATTTTCCGTATAGAGAGAGTGTCGTAACTACCCGTTTTCATTTATTTTTATGAACTTCTTAGTTGGTCAACCGTTTGATGAACAATTAATTACTCCGTTTTAATTAATTACCATTTTTTTTTCGTTTTGTTATTTTGACGAGAACATTTAATTTAATTTAGTGTATTTGGGAAAATATATCTTCCATATACCGGATAGTACATAATTTCCGATTTAAATATTTGCCCGTACTAGTAAAAAGTAATACGAACTTTTAATTCCTTAGTACCTGTCAGGATAATAAATTGGATTTAAATCCGGGGGCACTCGCACCCTTCATCCATTTTCGCGTTAACCAGGGGGTGATAGCGGTATTCGCTTGCTTCTCCCAGTCGATAATCAGAGATGTATCAGCCCCTAGTCTTTATAACAGCTCGTGGAAAATGTTTCTCTCTTGTAGAAGCTATGGACTACCAGATGTCTACATAAGAAAGACTTTAAACCGATATTTAATTAGTTTTCAAGTATAATAATTTATTTTTAATAAATTTTCCAAATACAGGGAGCCGTTAGTATTTAATTAGTTTTCATTGGTAATAATTTATTGTTAATAAATTTTCCGAATATAGGGAGCCGTTAATAATTAATTAGTTTTCAAGTGTAATAATTTATTTTTAATAAATCTTCCGAATACCGGGAGCCATTATTATTTAACTAGCTTCAATTGTAATAATTTACTTTTAATTAATTTTTTTTCTGTATATAGGGATCCGTAATTACTTTCTTGTAAACTCGTTTAATTGTAATTATTAAAGGAGATAAGTTTTTTATTTTTATTTATTCTACTATAGTGCCTACCGCCTGGAATTATTTTTACCTCCACTGAGTTTACCTTGAGTACACTCTAGTGTACTACAGGGTCGCAGAGCCAACTGCGATACCAAAACTGGCGCCTGAGCAACCCCTATTCGGAAATCACCATCATAGCACCACACAGACTCGCTGATTCACTGTAGGTGAACTAGAAGTCTGTCACAACACCGATGCTGTATTTGAAGATATTTGTAGATTTAAGAAGGAACCTGAACGTCGTCTGGATAGAACTACCACTTCAAATTTCCGTTTAAGAATCTCGACAGTCAATGTCGTTGATAGCCTGATGGTAAGGGCACACGTCCAGAAAACGTGGAGGTCTGGGTTCAACTCTCGGTGATAACAGGTTTCTTCAAATCTACATGTATTTGTTTTCACATTTGGGGGCCCGGGAATGGTCTTAATAATTCGTAAGGGAATTTTTGAGATTTATTTCCGAATTTTCAAATTATTCAAAAATTTATTTCATATAATTCTGACCTTTCGGATCTCGATTTGCGATCTACGATATATTAAATTCACAATTTTAAACAATTAATATATTTTCTCTTTTCAGATCATCGAAGATTGGAAATTCGTTTCGATGGTCTTAGACAGATTTTTCCTTTGGGTCTTCACGTTAGCTTGCATCGGAGGAACATGTTGCATAATTTTCCAAGCACCATCTTTGTACGACACCAGAGTTCCTGTAGATCAACAACTTAGCGAAATACCTCTTACTAAAATATTTCAATTACCACCGTCACACGTACCTATGTTAAGAGGAAACTAAGAACAATAAAAGATCCTACAGTAAAGCGTCAATAATCCGGACGTCAAACATCCGGACCGTCAATAATTCGGATTCTATTAAAACAAATCAAAGACTTGGTAACAAAAAAGCGAACCACTACCGCAGTTCAAAAATCAACAACATATTTTTTAAAGAGCTTTGACAAGGTAAAAACATAGTATTTTATGAATACATATTGTACAGGGTTTTTCATTATATTTTGACCACTACTTATTTTCCTTATTCTTGTGAACACAAAAAAGTTTCAAGTAAAAGCGTTGTTGTTTTACCTCAACTTGTTCGGCTACAGTATAACCCATTGCAAGCAATCAATTAACAACTTTAAATAAACAAACAACTGTTTCACTTGGAAACATCATTTTCATAGCCATCTATGTGTTACGCTTTCATAGTGCAATAAGTCACTAAATAATTAAAATATACATTTGTAATTAGGAAACGCAAATCTACTTAAAATGACAAAAACATATAGTGTCTCATTAAAAAAATTAAATTATATGTATATATATCAAAACTTTTTCTGTGTTCGCAATAATAATGAAAATAAATAGCGGTCAAAATATAATGAAACACCCTATACTTTACATATATATGTACATTTTTTCATTAATATACATCACAAGTTCATATTAATTAATAGTTGTATTTATGTGCTCAATTATTTGACGATAAAAGTGAGTTAATAACTGTTTTTAGCAGATTTTCTTCTTGTTATAAACTCAAACGACCTTTTTTGGATCTTTTCGAAAATCCGGACAGGGTGCAATCACAATTAATCCGGATTATCGACGTTCTACTGTACTTCGTATTAAAGCAAGTTAAGTTGAGCAATTTGAAGTACCTATCTACATAGGGTGCACTGACTTGTACTTCTCAACGAATTCAAACAAAGAGATATGTGGGATGACGAATAATTATATTACTGTTTAAAAAATTGTTAGATTTTAAAATTTAAACCCTATATATTGTGTTAATAATTACCAACTTAATACAGCAAAATATCCCTTGTTTCCTTATTTTAAAAACCAATTATTATAATAAAATATTGCTTAAGACAAAACAAACAGGATACGAAGTAAGGTCGACCTTCGCCCATTTGCTTGTCGGATGAAAGGTGTCTACGCCTATGCCGTCTAAGAACGCTTGATTTGAAAAACAGGAGTTTTTGAAGTGACACTTAAATAATTAAAATAATTTTGAGACGCTTGAGAATCACGCTTTATCTTCACAGTCAATGATCTACATCAATAGAAGGTATTTGTTATTAAATAAAATTTGTTTATATACCGCAAATGGGTTGCCTACAAAAATACTATCAACAAAATGTTTTACTTTCCTTTCTGTATACAGATAAGGAAAACATAAGAATTATAGCAAAAGTTTCTTGTGGTGTCATTCTCTATAATTTTTATTACATACATGATATCCCTAAAATGAACCGTATTCGAGATATTTGAGAAAAAGTGCAAATCTTCAAACTCTAGCGATTGTCACATAAATCCTGATGATGACTATAGGGTCGAAAGCGCTAGCGAATGAAAAAAATTCGTTTGTAAAATATTACTAGTTTTTAATCTAATTCAAACCACTTTCAGATAACATGGATATATTTATTTGTTTAATATTTTTATTTTTTAAATATTTGGTTTATGTACTGTTTGAATAAAAAATAGGTAATTTCTAGTAAGTACCTAATTAAGGTATTAAGGAAGGTACCAAGTTTCATTTCTGAATGCATAATCGTAATAAGTCTGCTAAAAGCGCAAGTATAGTTTGGTATTGAAGTGTCCTCTCGTCCAGAAAAATTTTCTAGCTGTGCCATGTATATCAGTTGTTGCCGCGAAAAGTTCAAATTGATATATTTTAGGTATTTTCCTTGCTGCAAGTAAAATTGACAATGGTTTAATTCGAATGGAGCGAAAAATAAATTATTGCTGTCTGTATTACACTTCGCGATTCATTACAAAAAGTTCGCCAACTTAAATTATAAAGGTCACCTTAAGTCAAAATGACAGGTTTGCCAAATATATCAAGCAAATTAAGGAAATCATACAATTTAGTAATTAAATAAAATAGACATCATTGATAATTCTTTTATTCTTTTATATTCCGTTACGATAACATTATCTAGATAATCCTAATTCTATTGTAAATGGTTTTGCTGGATATCTTCAACAATCGTTCATTTAGTCTTCGGATCCATATTTTACATTTGATGATACCCAACAATATACTTATCTTTTTATTAACAGTTTCAGTGAAAAAGGCGTAAAAAAGTAAAAATAAAAACACTACAGAGCCTGATGATATTCCGCCAAATCAAAAATGCCACAGGGTTCGAACCTGGGCCTCTTATTATTTATATTATTTAATAACGATATCGCTGAAGTAATTGATGGTAATTTTATGTTATATGTCGATGATCTAAAATTGTGTTTGATCATTTCTCAGGTCCGACTGTGATCGCCTTCAAACTAATAGATACAGTTGTGTACTAGTGTTTGAGAAATATATTTAACGTTAAATGCCACAAAATTTTTTGTCATGTCATTCGATCTTAACTCTAATCCTATAGTATTTGATTATATCAATAACAATGCACTCCTTCAAAGACCAACTAGTAATAGAGATTTTGAATAGGGAATTATCTGTTAGTCCCTATATTATTACTATTGTATCTGCTGCTTCTCGTCTTTACGGCTTTATTATACGAGCTAGTCGAGACAACCAATCCAATGGCGGTTCCAGGGATGGAGCCATGCTGGTATCTACCCTGCAGTCGAAACACCTCATAATTCCCTCTTGCAAAAACACACAGTTGATAGCTTATCGGCTCGCCATTCATCGATGCTATTTTAATTTAAGTTACTGATTTATAAAATTTGATAATTATACAATCTTAAAGAAGATCAACTTTCATGTCCCTCGATTATCGTCAAGCTCTGTTTACACTTTTTACCTTCCAGTACATAGAAAAAATGTATTTAAAAACTCTCCTATTCATGTAATGTACGAATGTTCTAACGAAATGTGCGGCAATTTTGACATTTTTAATTGTAATGCAAGCAAAACTAAGAATCATTTTCTTTTATATAAGCTTGTAACTCTTGTTCTTATTGTAATTTACTTGTAAATTTTGTTGTTAATATCGTGAATACTTTTTCTTGTAATCCTGTTTTTTAATTAGATTTCCTGTTGAACATTGTATTAAATAAATAAATAATTGCAGTAAGTACAATTTCTAAATGTTAAGTGGCTCTAAGAAAGTGAATTTTTTGAGAAATCATTTAATACACTGGCTACACGTTACAGTATATCTGTTACCACAGCTGATATCAATCACATGTAGATTGTTAATGTAACTTTTTTTTACTACCCAGATAGTACACGACAATCCAATGAATGTCCACTGAAAGGCCATTGATGGACATATCGGCTATTCAACAGATGTCCAGCATTTAGACTCCATGAGAGGTCCATATATATGAACTCTTTTTGTATTGCTTTTGGATCATTTATGGACATCACCACCGACAATAATAAGAAATACAAGTATTACAAATTAAAAATTTAAAAAAACCAGCTTTAAAAACGTGCAGATGCCATCACCACATCTTAACCAAATTTATATAAAACCACCCCTGAGGTACTCCCTTACTAACAAAAAAAGAATTATAAATCGGACAAGGTGGTAAAGCATTATCACTAAACATACATAAAAAATGAAGAGTTTGAGGGTTTTCTCATGGATACAATTATTAGATTTTGACCAAATTTATATGGGACCACCCCTAAAGTAGCCCCTTTCTAACAAAAAAAGGAATTATTGAAATCGGACACCGTGCTAAAAAATTATCGCTGAACATACATAAAAAATGAAGAGTTTGAGGATTTTCTCATGGACCCAATTATTAGATTTTGACTAAATTTATATGGGACCACCCCTGAAATACCCCCTTTGTAACAAAAAAAAAATTATTGAAATCGGACACCGTGTTAAAGAATAATCGCTGAACATACATAAAAAAAAAATATCGCGACGAATTGATAACCTCCTCCTTTTTTGAAGTCGGTTAAAAATAATTGCAACTATGGGTATATATATTTACTATTGTCTTAAATACTCCTTTGTGTCGATCTACTCAACCATTTTCTTATGGCTATTTCGCTTATTTTTAAGCAGTACCATCTCGATGATGGTGGGTGGAGTTTTCCGGGTTTTCCTCACCTGTAAGTGAAATGGCACCATCAAGCATCTTTAAGTCGCCCCAGAGTGCCAGGGCAAATAATAATGGCCGTCCCTTCCCCTACACAAGTCGCTCAATCGGCTTCAAGGGTTGAAATTCACTCGTAATAAATTAATTTGATTAATACAAACAGTAATTAATACTATATCTTTTAAAAACGTCTAATAAGTCAAAGCTGGTAGTTAAAAATGTAAAACTTTTAAATACAATTTTATTAATTAATCTGAAAATATCCGTTGACTAATGTACTTCTCCCCTCTACTTACAGATAAACAAAGAACTAATCATTGTTTCTTTAAATGGCCTTTTTACTTTTGTACCATCATATAATAATAATAATAATAATAATAATAATAATAATAATAATAATAATAATAATAATAATAATAATAATAATAATAATAATAATAATAATAATAATAATAATAATAATAATAATAATAATAATAATAATAATAATAATAATAATAATAATAATAATAATAATAATAATAATAATAATAATAATAATAATAATAATAATAATAATAATAATAATAATAATAATAATAATAATAATAATAATAATAATAATAATAATAATAATAATAATAATAATAATAATAATAATAATAATAATAATAATAATAATAATAATAATAATAATAATAATAATAATAATAATAATAATAATAATAATAATAATAATAATAATAATAATAATAATAATAATAATAATAATAATAATAATAA